CACCTCGATGCCTGACAAATCATTAACGGTTGGAGGCAGAGGCTGAAAGAGTTCGACATGTCACGCTGAACAGATGGCGCTATGCCCTGATCTAGCGATACAGGTTAGCATTCGCGCTGCTAGCTTACATATTATACAGTCGTCCAACCTGCTCTAACGCCCATCTGTATAAGACAATCACCTATAAATACAGCCACTAATTCCCCTGACGACCACCTGTTTTCGACAATCACCGGTACATACAGCCACTTTCCTTTAATGGCCACCTGTATAAGACAATCATCTGATATTATATACATCAACTAATTCCCCTGACGGTCACCTGTATAAGACAACCTCATGTACATACAACCATTTCCCGCTAACGGCCACCTGTTTACAATTTTAATAAATCTCCTGTTCACAAGGCCACTTCCCATTTCCCCAAATGCATTGATTTTTACATTATAATGACGCTGTGAAAGACGCCACCTCTCTATGGCGGCCACGTTTCTCCTCGGTAATCGGTGGTCGTCTTAGGCAGTTTCACCGAAACTCCGACTCACAATCGTGGGTCGTTGGTTCAAATCCCTTCAACGGATCGACGTTGTGTCTTTGAGAAAGGCACTTTACAAATTTTCTTCACTTCACCCTGGTGGGAATGGGTACCCAGCAATAGACAGTGAAAAATTATTGTCTGTTAGTGTTTGAGTGCTATTGTATGCTTATTGGGAAGCTGACTGAACATGTTCCTGAATGTTCTTAGAGCTTGTTGTTGAGCGGGGGTATGCTATTTTATTATTATTATTATTATTATTATTATTATTATTATTATTATTATTATTATTATTATTATTCTATTTTTTGTAAATTGGAGCGCACAGTTATTCGAATGATGGCGGCGTCTGCGTACTCGGATCAACTGAGTGAATGGGCGTGGTCTTTGAGTAAGTGTTAAATCAAGTCCTCATAAACATACTTTGAACTTTGATCTCTTTACCTTTTGCATTTTAAAATATTATATTCAGTTTCACCAAGATGAAGCAATTTACATCACATTTAAACGATGGCTTCTTGTGAGAGAAAGCAAAAGCGGAAGATAGTGATCTTTTCTTGAAAGTTGGCCGATAACTTATTTACTTATAATCAACCAACCAACCAACACACACATACACACACAGACATACACACACACACACACACACACACACACACACACACACACACACACACACA